CATTTTTGATGGCCTTCTACCAAATTTAATTTTCTTTATAATAACTCTTAGTGGTCAAAAATCTTATATGATTATTTCATAAAAGTAATGTTTAAGAGAAACTTTTGAACTTTCCCATTTGCAAAAATTTAAGAGATTTTTTTTTTGGATGATACCATATGATGATGTACCAACATCAGGAATACTTGACCACATATTACTTGCCATAAAAATTCTTCAAAAAAGTGTTAATTAAATTTAAATAGAATAAATGTGATACAAGATGCCAGTGCAAAAAAGATATATACCAATCACTTGATCATAAGCAGATAAAAATAAAAACCTAGTACTCTTATTCTACATGTATAAAATAATTATAGAAAGTTATGAATTTTATATTTTGGTAATCTATTTTTTTGTGTTGATGAGATATTTTATAATATTTGTATGATTTTATAGTTAGGGTATTATATTTAGAGTTGCTTAATGAGAGTGAAAGAGGGAGAGAGAGAGTATTGCTATGTTGAGTGTAAAAGTAAAATATTATGTTGATATGTTACTTTTACTAAATTTTGAGTTTGAAATTAAAATGAGAAAGCTTTGGGGACAACTCCATTAGAAAGACTTAGGGACCGTTTGGGACTGTTTTCTGTCTGTATTGCTTTTCAGACTGCCTCCACAGTTCTGTTTGATGAACTTATTTCTTGCTAATTTTAAAAATTTCTATAGTAGAAAGATATTTTTTTCAACCTAACCAGTTAAAGTGTGGTGGCTGAAAGAAAATTGTGGTCTAACTTTTTGAAATTAAAATAAATTTATAATTCTCTTCACAGCTATTTGAATAACAACTTCTTCTGCAACAGCTTCATAGCTGCTTCTTTAAGCTGTTACACCTACCCCAAACAGACCCTTAGCTGGTGGCTACTCCTCACCATATACAACTTTTGACATTAAATGTATTACATATATTTGATTTTATTTCATTTTATTATTAAATAATCATTTTACCATACTTGCATGCGATACTAATATTTTTACTTTCTTTAATCTACAAGAAAATCATATATCATGTCCTGTTAAAATTTAGCTAATAGAATAAGAAAATTCGACTTAGTCTTATTCTCTTTGACTTTTGGAGTCCTCAAGCCTCTTAAAATTTCTTATATAGTCAAAAATTAATTCACGCACACACGCCTTCATCAATTTAGATGAACATGGTCGAATTATTTTGACCAGGCTAAAGTTTTCACCCTACCAAGTTGATTCATATTTCTTTTTTATCCTAAACACTTTTAGATCATGTAAAAATTCAAATATTTTTCTTACAAAGTCCTTAAGGTATTCTTATCCTAAAAATCTCCTTCGAAAAATTTCAACTAATAAGCCTAAATCTTCAATCAACAAAACTTTTTTGGCCTAGTTTTGAGTTTGCATTCATTTCATCAACCAAACTCCATTGGACTAGGTATTATAACTCTAAAAACATATTAAATACTTCTCCCTACAATTTCCAAGAGTTTTTACAAAATAACTTTAGCCCATATTACTCCTCATCATAGTATTATAACAACCCTTATCATAATATTATATTAACCTATAAAAAGCTCCACAAGAAGGGTAAACCTTTGAATATGCTCCAATGCATTTTGTAGCATCATTATCATTTCCTCCTCAAAGTCTACAAGTTGCCTAAATGTAAAAAATTTTTGGTTGTTATTCATGCTCATTGAGACTGATCTCTTATTATAATCCACTTCAAGTTATACCCCCTTCTATTAAATAGTACGATTTATGCTTTACTAAATCTATGAGGATGCTGAATCCAAAAGCTTTCATAACTCAAGCAATCCATACCTAACATATTTTGAAAGATAAAGAGAGATAAGAGAAAAGAGAGAGAAGTCAAAGAGCGGGAGAGAGACTAATACACAGAGAAGCTTTGATTTTTATTTTTTAAAAGGATAGAATCCAAGAGTTGTATGCCTCTCCTGAAGGAGACCATCTTTTCGATTGGCTTAGGACTAGTTGACATATGGATACTCATCACATAACTAGATGAAGTTGCTCGTACGACGACCATGGCAACTTAGTTGAGTGATTTGGTCAAGCTATCATATAGGCCAAGTTGACCTATGAGCCATTCTAATCTGAACTTCTTAACTCAGCTATCCAGTATTTGGCTATTTTATATGTTAGATTTTTACCCTCACCCTTAATAGTTTTAATTCCTCCTAATAAGGCGCAGACAATTGTTGTGTTAATTTTAAACGGGCATTTTTATTTTCTCCCTTAAAATAAGCTTCTATTAATTTATAATTATGTGGTGCCAGCAGATGTGGGGAAGGTGAATTAGTTTAATGGATATCATCAACATTAATTAAGTATAAGCTAAGCTAAACTGAGTCCACTGTTAAAATGATTGGCGCTATCGAAGAATGTCAATATCAACCCATTTGGATTAGAAAATAAAGGAGCAATCACGACCATTTTTCCACTCTACATAACCCCGCAGGATTAAACCATTGACTACAGAAAATTTTAATTTTTCATACTTTTTTGTATTCACAGAATATAGTTTTTAAAAATATAATTACATTGAAATTATTATACTATTTATATATATGAAAGGAAATCGACATTTGGCCGTGTGCTTTTAGGCCCCATGATGAGAACCTACGTTACGTGCCTAAGATTCCAGAGTCCCGGCATCACGGTAGGATTGAGCAGTTGACCTGAGGGGACTTACAGTGACCCCACCACCAACACGTCAAGGCTTGCGGCAGGCGCGCGCGCGCACACACACACACACATAGGATCATCTTCGGCAGTGTAAGTCCTCTCTGGTTCATGGTTTGATTCTGCCTCTGGCGACTGTTGTCCTAAGGCAAGGGTACAAGAATATTTAGAACCATGGGTCGCCCTCAGACCTGACGACGGTTGAGCGAATAGAGTGGGTTGAGGACCTCTCTCTCCGACCCATTCTTTTTTGAGAATATATATATATATATATAGTCTTCAGAAAACTGGCCCCACCACCAGCTAAAAAAAAATTATTAAGTAATTTCTTTTTATTTTGCTGGATTTACTTTAAGATGAATGTGATAAAAATATTAATTAGTTAATTATGTATTGTATTAATTTTAAAATAAATTTATTAAATTTAAGACTTATTCTCACTAAATCTGACTGAAGTTATATTAACTTAAAATTTCTCTAAATTTTAATTTGATACCCATTGATGCTTATTTATATCTACTTTAAGTATTAACATTATAATATTCTCTACAACAAAAATCAAGAAAATAGTATTTGAATAATTAGCTTGAATAAGAGATATATTTTGTTTCTTGCTTATTTATATCTACTTAAAGTATAGTATTATAATATTTTCTATATCAAAAATCATGAAAATGATATTTGAATAATTAGCTTGAATAAGAGAGATTTATTTCAGCTAATATATTTTTAGCATATTTGTTTAAGTTAGTGACCACAGAAGCAAAACTGGGAATATTTTATGCTTAAATTAACTAAAAATAAGAGCAGCTTTGTGAGACCAAATAGGTTCATTTAAACTGTTAAGTGACTGTCAAAATTGGTTTAAAAGGTCCTGAATTGGAAAAAATATTGCGTCCGTACATGGTCGGTAGCCATCACATCTGGGAATGAGGTGTATGCCGAGCTGTAACCCGACCATTCGTCGCCCACATCTACGGACGACTGATGCAAATTTTCCTTCATGACTGGGGACATGCTCTATGTTGTATGCTTTTATATCTTTTTAAATAACTAATAATAAAATATGCTCCAATTCCCTTCATTGAATCTCCTATAATACTCTTAAAGATGAATTCAAAATTCATACTGCCTTGACACAATATAACATACTCTTAAAATAGATGAGCAAATCCATATGAATCTTAATCATGATGAATATGAGTATTATTTGGCCTAAATTAAATTATAATAAGTGCAAGAAAATCATTTATGTAATTTAGTTATCTAGAAAAATTATGACTTTTATAATCTCTCTCAGATTATTTTAACAATAATTAAAAATCATAAAATATATTAATTAATTTTATGGTGCTCAAGTGAAAATTTGAATTTTAATGTTTAAGTGAAATTTTGATTATGAGTGAAAATTTCAATAGTTGATGAAAAAGAGTGATTGATTTTTAAATTTCCGTGTATGTAATTGCCCCAAATAATAGGATAATTACGTACAAATCATTCCAAACATTACGAAGTCCTCAAAGGCAGCTTGCACAAGGAAATCTTTGAGTCGGGAGCAGCATGGCTTGGAGTGGAAGAGAGACCATGCTGTATGGAACTTTTCTGTCTGAGCCCGGCTGAAATTGAAAAGAACTTTGATTCTCCTGCGAGTAGAGGTAAAGGTAAAGAGGGCTGTGATTAGAAAGTCTCAGCTCCTGCATGAAAAAGCCCAAAAGAAGCTGCTTTTTTAAGGAGTCAAACAATAAGAAAAGTGAAGTTGTCTTGACACTTTGTTTTCTTCATTTTTGTTATTGCGAAATTGACGATTCGCTTATACGCAGATCTTGTCGTGTCTAGATAGATAAAGCTTGCTTTGGAATTGGAAGATTTGAACTATCTGCGTGTAGTGACTTCTGATTGAAAGCCTGATATGAGAAGTTTTTTTCTTGCACACCTCATTCTGGTCATATTCCAATTCTTGGCTTGAGAAATTTTGTCTAAGATATTTACAAGTAAATCATTCTCATAATTTTATCGAACTAAGAAACCGATATGCTTACGCGTGCCTTGATAAAATCATTGAGAATTTGATAAAAATAAAAATGATGAGTTGAGATTTTCTATCAAATTTTAATATTTGATTGAAATTTAAAATATGAATGAAAAATAATGATAGATTTGTAAATAACAAATATTAGGTGATCTAGATGTAATTGCCCCAAAAATAATCCACCAACAACAAGTATAATTCAAACATTTTTTTCGCTACTTCGAAGCCTAAAAAACACATTATAAAAGTCCCACGCAGCTTTCCCCTCTTCCCCCACAACCATTACTAAGGCCGAAGAAAGAAGTCAGTCCAGCTACCGGATTCTTTTCTGAGCTGTGATGGGAAAGAAGACGCCGACGGTGGCCTGCCGCGCATGGCGTCTCCTCCGCCTCCCGCTCCTCTGGACCAGAAAAGGCTTCGATTTGAAGCCCCGCTCCCTCGACGACGACTCCCGCCTTCTAAAGCTCGAAACTTACCCCTCTCGTTGCAGCGAGCGCGAGTTCTCCTTCGACGACACCCCCTCCAACCAATTCAAAAAGCACCACCGCTCCGTTTCCCTCTGCCTCCTCCCTTGCCTCGCTCCCTCCGTCGACTTCGAAGGCGAAGATGAAGATGAACTCTTCCTCAGGAAGTCGAGAGAAGACAGTGATGAATTGGATCCTGGTCGGCGTATGGTTGAGGCGGAGGAGGACTGGGATTCGCAGTCTTGTTGGTCGGAAGCGATGACGGAGAAGGGAGAGGGGGAGGAGGAGGAGGAAATTGATTCCCGGGCTGAAAAGTTTATCACAGAGTTCTACCAGCAAATCAAGCTGCAACCCCGTTTCTCGCCTTTGGCCGGGCGCCATGATGGTAAGAATATTACGTGTGGATAAGATAGGAGTGATTCGATGAGTTGCATCTGCACAATGGATGTGATACAGTGAAGGTCCGAACTCCCACTCTGCTGTATTACATCCATTGTTCGGATGCAGCTTTATGTCTGGACTCCGAACATAATATTTTTTCAAATCGGCACATAATATTTTTCTCCACGGTGAGATGCTTTGCAAAGGGAAGAGATGTTGAGGCGCTCAATTAGCACTTGATGGAACTGCCGGTGCTGTATCAGTTCATCTTTTTGTATGTATAATCTTTTGAATTGCTTTTTTGCAAGTCCTCTGTACTGATTAATGATGGATTGGGGATGATATGATGAGATTGGAAAAAAAAAAAATTAGAAAATTTTTCAAAAACGGAAATTAAATTTAATTGTTTCAAGTGTATTAGAGGGTGTCATAAGAGTAAGATTAATTTCATCTTACTCTATGGCAGTAAAATTGAAGAGATTTATAGTTTTTATTTCTTTTTATTTTCATTTCTAAAAAAAGGTTTTTTTTTTATTTCTGGTAATTAATTATTTAGTTCCTGTCTCATAAGTACAAGTCCGTAGAAATTTCTTTTTGTTTGATTAAGACTTAGTGTCTGTTTGGGGCAGTTTATTTAGTGCGGTGGCGTTTTGAAAGTGCACCTGATCTGTTTAGGTAAACTACGTTTTGGCAGTTTATGCGTTTTCAAAACGTTGAAAACAACGTTTTCACACCACACTTATCTAGGTGCGGTTTATCTAGGTGCGGTGGCAAGCTTTCTGGCAGCGGTTTGATTTTTTCAAAAATATAAAAATTTGTAATAATTACTACACCTAGCTTATCAGCAGATTATATTTTAATCAATTTATCAACAGATTATTCAATAAATTGCAACTGGCCCAAACAAACTCTTAATTTGACTTATTTTAGAAATATGTTTCTAGCAGCATTATATTGCTGGTTCAATGGCTTCATGATATTGATATGAAAGATTAGAAAAGATAGAAGTGGTTGTGCAGCCTGACAAAATTGATTAGAGTTTAGTGTAATAATGCAAAATGGTTTCCAGCTAATTAGCTAGGAATATTTTGCACATGCATGTGTAGGAAAAATATGAATTTTACCTAACGAACCATTTTTAATGAGCAATACAGATGGTTAGTCACATCGCTACAGGAGTACATCATTTTATTTCTCTTTAAAATTTAATTATCTAAGAAAGTTAAAGTCAGGCATCCAATTTGACACGAACTGTACATAAGAATGAGGGCTTCTCATGTTTCACAAAGTACTACATTTCATGCAAGAAAGAACACAATGAAGAAACAAAAAAAGTGAAAATGTTAGAATGCGGAATTGTACTTTTGAAATGCATGCCTCGATAATTAGAGTCGAGAGAATGAGGAATAGATAGAGAGGAAAATGTTAGTGAATTAATAGTGGAGAGGCAGAGGACAAAGTTCTGGGACTGAGTTCTTTTATTCATCGTCAAATCTCCTATTTATTGGAGGCCCTCTTGCGCAATTACAGAATGAAGAGAGAGATTATGGAAATGACCATCAATTGTCGAAAGGATAGAATAATTATGAAAACTGCCCTCAATATAATCAATGTGTGCAATTTAAATCCTGTTATGGCGGTAAACAGCCGGTCAACATTTTTTGAGAATTGATTGAACAATTTACTTCCCATTGAGCGCACTCTATAAATAGAGTCAAAGACTTGGCGATGTATCTTTATGTTTTCTCCTAGTTCGGCGAGGTACATCATGGCTGATGATATGAGCAAAGTCGATGTGGATTCCTGAATTCTGGCCAAGGTGGGCTGTGGGGCCTTGACTCCTATAAAGAGGAAAGGTGTGAAAGAAAATGGATGAGACCCGAAGCTTCTCCGGTTGATTTAGTTGGCTCGTTTGCTAGTGTTGAGGAACAATCGCCGAAAAAGCTTTGTGATGAGAAATTAGGGCAAAGAAAAAAAGGAATCGACACAAATCCAAAAGAACACACAGAGATTTATGAAGTTCGGCAAAAATTGCCTACGTCCTCAGGAGCAGAGCGGTGACTTCCTTTTCAATATTCAAAAATGTTACAAGATACACAAGAGTATAAAATACAAGATTCAGTATCTCACTTAGGGTTACAAACAGAATATATATAAAACCCTATAATACAATATGTAATTATTTAAATTACCCTTGTATCAAACCGCAGGGTGTTGCCCCCGCACCCCTAACCCACATAAGAAAACTCCCCCGATTGGACAGATCCTTCAGCTCCACTCTACTCTTGGGCTCCGCTCTGTTCTAACAGCTGTCCCATTTATGGTATATGAGCCATACCTAACACTTTGTCAGGAAGCTATGGCTTCCGAGCCAATGAAGGTGTTGAGGAGAGCAGAAAGAAGCTGAAGGGAGTGAAAATCATCATCTCTTCTCAGTCACCACTGCCAAAAGGCAGAGAGACCTCATCACATGAGAGAGAAAAGTTTTTGAAGGGCCTCTCCTCAATATATAGATTTGTGAGTACATAAAGCTTTCTTTAGTCATTTAGTGGTTTTTAACAATTTTTTTTATGTTATCCCAACACAGATGAATTGGTGGGGTCGAAGAGCTGTGAAGAAGATGTGCCTTCGAAGGACGTTGCAGAGTCTGCTCCCACTACGAGGGCCAACCTATAACTTGGGATCATGAAACTTCTGCCATCAATCACCCTGTGGGTCACCGGTCACTTGACCCTTTGCTTGCTACTAGCTCTCACCAGGGGCAAATAGAGTAGTGGTTGTCTCCTCTCGGATCCATTGAGCATCAGGCAGACAGGACCAGATCCTTGGCGATGTTGGTTGGTTATTTGGAGGGAGCGGTCAGAGCTTCGTTTATAGATCCCGTGAGGGAGTTATCAGCACACCTGACCACTACAAACTAGAAGGTAGTGGCCCTAAGGGAGGATTTTTCCATTCTGCGAAGTGGGCTGACCGAGGCGTTGCACGAGCTAGAAACGCTTCGCAAGTCGGCCGATCTGGGCATGTTCCATTGTGAGGTCAACCGAGTGGACCAGGTTAGGTTGGTAGAGCAAAGGTCTTCCAAAAGTTGACTTAGATAGGGTATGTCTTGACTGAGGCCTTGGAGGACTCATTCATAAAGCATTTTGTTAAAGACTTGTAATAATTTCAGTTGTAATAAAACGATCTTCTAATAAATTTGAAAGGATCTTTGGTGTGACACTTATCATTATGTGAAGCTTTTTCTTACACGTCTTCCTTAAAAATATGGCAAAGGGTCATTTCTTTTTACTTTACGCATTTTGACTTCTTTCTTTGTGCCTTGAGTCTTTTCTTCTTTTTTTTTTCTTTCAGCAGACTTTTGGTTCTCTTAGATGGCTCCCAAATACTCCCACCATTCTTTGGCTTTACACGAGTGTCGACCCTTTGTTCCTGACGGGCGACAACATGAAAGAGTTTAGAGAAAGTTTGTTCTTCATGACAACATCGCTTTTCGGGGATGTCAGGGTCAGCGCGAGTGACAGATGACTTAGGTAAGGATCTGGTCTTCTATCAAGACTAGATCAATTATGGCCTCTGGTTGCCTCTGCATGATGAGCTTCGGAGTATTTTAAATACGTATGAGGTCATTTCGACACAAGTGTTGTCGAACTCCACAGCTATCATAATGACTTTCATTCCTTTTTGTAGTCAAGAGCGCATTTCATGGTCGATAGACTTGTTCAAGCATTATTACTCATTTAATTTTGATAAGGAAAACTTCGCATGTTTTTAGCAGGCAAAGAACTCCATCTGCTTGAGGTTGGAAAATAAAATAAAGGAGTGGAAGAAGAGGTTATTGGCTGGTTCTCGCTCTGGCCACTAAGAAATTCTTATCAAGCCATCAAAGTAAGCGATGAATAGAAAGATGTCTTTTCCTTCAATTATGGATGTTGTTAGGTCGTTATCTCTCGATCCTATAGTACATTGTCGAGGTGACAGTTACCCACGTACTGTGGAGCAAAAAGATTGAGGAACAGTGCCACCTTTCAGATACTGATGAGGGGATCTGAGCCAAGGCAACAAAGGAGAAGCTGATCGTCAAGCACTGAAAGCAGTAAGATCTTCTAGGGCCAAGAAATTCTGTAAGAAAATAAGGACCTGCTTCCTTACAATGTGGCCTCGAGAAACATCACCTCCGTGTTTGAAACTAGCATTGGTATTCAAGATGCGGTGACCAGTAAGGTTACCACCATCCCTTGTAAATATGCTTCTCATTTTGTTAGTGTATGGAAAGGTGATAGGAGAACATCCATTTCTAAAGGCATTCCAGATAAGACCGCGGTCGTATCCCCCTCTTCCTTGAAAACTGGCGCATCACTGGGTGTCGCCTCTCCATCGAATTCGCAGGTCGAGGATCCTTCTTTTGTTGCCTTATCTGCAAAAGTTGAAGCTAGCCAAGCCACTCCTGTTGCCTCACCCAGTTATTCATTGGGAGAGTCAACTTTGTCTTCCTACGATGAGACCCCGTCTCCTCTGAGGGAAAAAAAGGTCCATCAGCAGGGAAAGGAGCCGGTGGAAGAAATAGATGTCTCACATCCTCCTCCTTTGATAAGGACCAAGGGTGCCTTCGAGATAGAGACCATGCATAAGAGTGTGGGACGATGTGGCTCTGATCTGACAAGCAGTTCGGTGATTGATCTGTAGACTGGTATCCACAGACGGATGAGGACAAAAGCAACCTCCCAAATTTGTTAAACCTGTTATAGTCTAAGGAGCTCAGTAATACCTTGGGGGGCTTCAGCCATCTGAAACTCCTCTAGAATGTGGATCTATGGCAACTGATGGCAGTATAGAGCACCCATTTCCTGGGGCTGGCCATGCTCAAATTGGAAGGGACCCTGGATGGAGCTCAAAAAACCATTTAAACTTTGAAATTCAAATATCATGTTTTCGTCAGCCATTTATTTGTATTTTAAATGTTTTTTTGAACTAAGTTTTTGATTGAGAGTCAAACCACGCTCCCAACCACTTTCCATAAAGACTGGTTAAGATTTAACAATTGATTGGTTTGCATCGGGCTTAAGTCATCTTTTTCCACACCCTATTTAGTTGATTGAGACTTTTTTTCAGCCGAGTTTGTTTCTTTTGCTAGATGTTAATCTTTTCACTACCTTTAAGGGCTACTTTCTGGGGGCTTGTCTTTGGAATGCTTTGCTTTACACACGTCCACGGATCTTATCATTAGTGAGCAGATAATCATTTCCATAAACCCGGCCTTTTTGACTTCAGACGTTTGGGTTTATGATTTGAAGAGGGTACAAACAGTAAATTGATCCGTTGTTACTGATCTCTAGGCTCGTGTTGAT